ATGATGGATTACAGAAATGAAAATGCGACAAGTGAAAATCAATATCAATTTTTGGAATCGTATATTCGAAGATATAGTCTTACAGCTCACCATCCTATTGGTACGTGTAAAATGGGCAAACAAGAAGATCCAATGGCGGTTGTAACTCCTGATACGCGCGTTAAAGGTGTAAAAGGTCTGCGTGTTGTAGATGCAAGTATCATGCCAACGCTTGTTTCCGGTAATACGAATATTCCAACTATTGCAATAGCCGAAAGAGCAGCAGATTTAATTAAAAGCAATTCTTAAACATATACTTTCATCGTTTTTCTAAACTTCAAATAAAACTCTATTAATTTCACAATTCTATCATTTCTTATTAGACTTGATCGATACCTCACAATCACCGACAGCAGCGACATAAAAAATGATGCATTTGTAATTCTGATGAGCTAATTTAAAAAGTCGTGTTTTTATCCTCCACAAGAATCTATATTGTACTTATCCGATACATATACATATATATACGTGCATGTATTTCGTTCTCGTTCGTTCGTTCACTCGCATTCGTATATTCATACACTGCGCGCCATCTAGTATTCTTTCTCGATTTGACTGTAGCTTCGCTCAGCTGAATTGAGAGTTTTCGATGCGTGAGCTATCGGCTTCTCAGATCCATCCGAATATCGATGCATGAGTACGGCCCCGATTCCATAATTAGATGCGTCGGTAGCCAGTATAAGTGGAAGATGTTGATCGAAATGTACCAGTAGTGTTGCTTCAGACAATTGCTTCTTCAATACGTCAAATGCTTTTTGACAAGAAGCATCCCAGTTCCATTTCACATCTTTTTGTCTCAGCCGATTCAACGGACTACATAAATTGGAGAAATTTTGAATGAATTTTCCATAGTAGTTTATTTTTCCGATAAATGCTTCTACTTGTTTGACGTCTTTTGGTACTGGTAAATTTTGAATTGTTGTAACTCGAGAGGGATCCGGTTGTTTACCATTTGAATTGATAATATAGCCAAGATAAACGACTTCGTCTTCGAAGAATGAGCATTTGTCCATATTACAACAAAGACCAAAATCAACGAGTTTCTCCAAGACCATTTCCAATGTTTTGAAATGTTCGTCTTCGTTCTTTCCAGTGATCAATATATCGTCCAAGTAGGCGATGGTGTTCGGTATACCAGAGAGGACTTGATCCATGATACGTTGGAAAATCGCCGGTGCGTTCGCTATGCCGAATGGCATGCGATTATACCTGAACAATCCAAGTGGCGTATTGATGACTACCAATTGTTTGCTGTTATCGTCCAATTCCACTTGTAAATAAGCATCCGTCAGATCTAATTTGGTGAACTTTTCGCCATTGTTTAATCGAGTAAGAAGTTCATCAATGTTGGGTATGGGATGTTGATCGATGAGCATCTGTGAATTTACTGTCATCTTATAGTCTCCGCAAATGCGGATTTTTCCTGAAGGTTTACGAATAGGTACAATGGGTGCAGCCCATTGTGATGTATCTATTCGTTCTAGAATACCATTCGACACCTGTCTTTGGATTTCTTCTTTCACTCCATCGAGATACGCGAACGGTAGTGGACGCGCCTTGTAGAACTTTGGTACGGCATCCGGTACCAATTGTATGTGTGCAAGAACTTTTGTGCAGTGACCTAAATCCTTGTTGAATACTTGTTTGTACTTGTCCAAAATCACCTTCAGCTTGACTTGACTATAGATTTTCTTCACGTTTTGACTGCTGCCACTCCGACCATGCACCAAACTGTTTAAATCAAGTTTCATTGTTGAAATCCAATGAAGACCTAGAAGCGGTGATCCTGTTCGTTTGATAACCACCATGGTAAGATTGAATTTGTGCTGTTGATACTCGACTTGTACATCACATTCACCTTGAATATCCAATTGCTTTCCACTGTAGCATTCAAGCTTCAACGAACTTGTACGAAGTTTTGGTGAACCTAATTGTTTCCAATCATTTGAACTAACAATCGTATGATCAGAACCTGTATCAACATCGAAAACAAAATCTCGATCATTGATGCTCAATGACAATGTCATTGGTGTTGAACTGGATTTATTCCAGCTAACACGTTTCAATTGATGTGTTGATTGATTTCGCTTCGGCATATTCTTCCCATTCTTTTTTTTCAAGCACACTTTTTCCAGATGACCGGTTCGCTTGCAGAAATTGCAAACATACGTACGATACTTGCATTCACTACGCGAATGCGTTGTTGATCCACATGATTGACATGAGTCAGATGTGGTTGTTGAAGATGATTTACCATTTGATGATGGTTGTTGGTTTGTGAATTTCTTTTGTTGAACCTTCGCCACCGTTGGTAAAACAGAATTGTTCGATGAACTGAATTGTCTAACATCATGTTCGAGTCGTTCAGCTAATTGGATAATTTTTTCTGTAGCAGCAAGATCAGGATCTTCTTCTTTGAGAAGAGCTTGTCGAATTTTAGGATTATTCACACCCATTACATAAGCATCCCTGAGTGCACGATCTTGTGGTCGATTTTTCAACACTGATGCGTTGAAACCACAATGACGAAGTTTCTCACAGAGCTCGGCCTTCCATTCTGAGAATGGTTGGCCTGGCTTTTGATGACACGAGTAGAAATCATAGGTGGCAGTCATAATGTTCCTGGTTGCGTCATAATGTGAATCTAATTTCCTAATTAGATTATCATATTCCACATTTTCATCGGTCAGAAGACTTGGTGCCATTAATGATTCCAAAAGACCATATGTTGCATCGCCGATTGACCATAAGAATAAAGATTTCTTGTCGTCATCGTCGACGATTTTGTTGGCTTTGAAGTAGAAGTTAATTCTATCACGGTACGATTGCCATGTGGAATTACGAGGATCGAATGAATGGATTGCCGGAATTGAGGAAAATCTTGCTGTTGCTGCTGTTTGATTTGCCATAATAAACGTTGTAAATAATCTCGTCGCCAATTGTAGGTTGTTGTACTTCAGGAGAATGAAAAGGTTTCGTGAGTCCCGTTTATTAAGGTATAATAACGATAGAGATACACACGTATATAGAGAAGAGATAGAGAGAAGAGAGAAAGAATACTAGATGGCGCGCAGTGTATGAATATACGAATGCGAGTGAACGAACGAACGAGAACGAAATACATGCACGTATATATATGTATATGTATCGGATAAATCCTTCATATGTCATGATATGAATAGGGAAAACTCTATGATACATATTTTGGAATTGTCCATACTAACACGATACAAAATGAAAAATGAATATGGTATAAGATGATTCGTGAGACTGGATCCACCCAGCTGCCAACAACTCAATGTTTGGCTAACGAGGGAACTTTCCAAAATGATCAACGAGTTTAAAGCCCATCTTTTGGCCATAAGTAGACCTCAATGATGTATGAAAAACCTCCAAAGGATTTGGGTCCTTAGGGCTTTCTTCCTAAGATATCCAACTTTTACGATATGAGATGAGACAATAAGAATAAAGCATTCAATGATGAGTTTTCTCAAGAACAGTAAAACATCAGCAATTGCAATTATTTTCTCCTTTGTATATATCTTGTTTCATCTAGTCTGGATATTACGAGCAAGGTTAAAGTCTATTTAGAATGATCCCATTCTTACTTTATGAACTAACGAGGGAACCACCCGAGTTGTCAAAAAGCTTTATGGCTAAGAGCGTGATGGGTAGGTAGGGAATACCAAGGTATGATATATCATAAGTTGGTTCGTGCGCAAGTTGCTTTTCGACCTGTCCACGTAACGGTCCACCTGTGTGGGGGAGTTTCATACATACAGTGGAGCAAAACGGACGTAAGCATCTTATGGATCATAATGTCAAACATTAGAAATGATACTTTTAAGGTCAACTGAGTTTTCTGTTTTCGGGAGATCGCAGCAGATATGGACACGGTTCGAGTTTTTCAAAATTTGAACCGAACCGAATCGCTTCGCATAACTGTCCAATTCGCTTACAGATAACTAAGCTATTTAACCTTCATACGCACTCCATTATCTTGTTTCAGAGTATTTGTTTTCTATGACATTCATATACGTACATACGCATGTGTGAATCTACATGATTAATATTGATAATATTTTATTTTACCTTACTTTTACTTTAAACGTGCAAGTTTATATAAACATCTATCTGGCAAAAATGGTAACAAAAACTAATCCATTACATCTACAAATACAAACGAAAAAAAAGAAATATTAAGAAATTTTATCAAAAGAATCAATAATATTTTTCTCGACCGTACTTACTTGCTCTGAGCATTTTTCTTTTTATATCTTTCAAATGAATTTTGAAAAATGATATCATTTACCGTTTGAGGGGATAATTGTGACCGTTTTTTAGTTACAATATTTCCTGCCAATGAAAACTCTCGTTCTACTGCGGCACTAGTTGCCAGTACAGAAAAAAACACGTTTAGCCATTTTTGCTAAATGTGGATATAATCTAAAATTATGAATGGGTTTTACTTTTCCTCGTTTGAAGAAGAAACTGAAGAACATGATTCGATCTGCTTATCCATTCCAAACTTCAAATAATTGTCAATCTCTATTTGATGTATAGCAGTTGTTGTAGTCGGTAAATCAATTTGTTCATCTTCTTCATCATAATATTTCTCTATAACGCGATAAGTTTGAATTGTTTCATTGCCTCGTCTCTTTTTTAATGTATTGCTGAAATTGTTGTTTTCCAATTATTTTTCACCATCATTATCAAATGCATCAAACATAATCATTTCTTGTTTTATATATTCTAGACACGAATTTCGTTGATCATTTGTACATTGCTTCATTTTTATAGTTCTTGGATTCAAAAATAAAGCCATTAGATGAATAGGATGATAGTCAATCACAACTTCCAGCAGTACTTGTGCACGTTGTCGTAAAAACAATATATCTGTTGTAAAAATGATCACAGTACGTCAACGGATATTAGTCGAAAATAAAATACAATCTAATCTCGTTCGCTGGATAATTTCGAATCGTTTGCCATCCATTCCAAACTTGCTTTTAAACTTTCAATACCAGGTATAACAAGATGAATAGATGGTACTTCTGTTGATTGTAAACGTGTAGAAATATGTTTCCATGGTTTCAGAAACTCAATAATCCTCTCCAACAAAAAGACATTTATTTTTACTAATCATTTTTTGTCTAACTGTCGTTCATCGAATATTTCATTCAATGAAAGATACGATCTATACACAGATTCAAGAGAAATAGACACTGATAACCATCGCACAACAGTACATTGTACCAATCGTGAAGATTCTTTATCTTCAAGAGCTTGATTAAGATTAATCTGGAGGAAAGGAAAGTAATCATTTATCGAAAAGTTGAAAATACATGAAATTTTTCTTAAACACATACGAGTTTGACATATTTAATCAATTGTTTTGCGGACAAAATTAAGGTAATAACACGTTTTGCGCCAGATGGAATCTCTAATTTCGAAATAGTCAAATGATTCACTTTAGTAGACACTGATTTTGATGTATCATTATTTCTTTGCTGTTGAGGAGATCGTCGTCATGGATTTGTTGATGAAAATCGTTGTAAATCTGCTTCATCATTACCATATTCTTCACGACTGTTCCGAAGCACTGATTTTCTCGTCTGCATCTTCAGTTTCATCTTCACTTTGAATTGTAGTTATAGGTTGTTGATTTTTCTTTTTTTTTCAGTTTGAAAGAAAAGCTTTTCGAGAACTTTATTCAATCTATGTGCTGTACAGAACACAACTTCATATTCTTCTAATATTTTTTAATATTAGATCCACGATCCGAAACCCAAACAATATCTTTCATATATTGGACAAGATCATAAATACTCAATCCTTCCTTCAATACCTAAAATTTAAAAAAAAATATTTATGAAAGGAAAAAAACGTTCAAAATTCTGTACCTTCATCACATTTGGAGCTTTTTTATTTGGTGTATTAAATGGAATACAAAATATTTCGAATGAATGTAAAACCCAACTATCATCAGTCCAATGAGCAGTACATCCCAAATATGATTGTTGACGATAAGCATCTGACCAAATATCAGGAGATAAAACTAAACATCGCTCACGTACAGCTTTCAATAGAACGCTTTTTATTTGTTCACGTCCACTAGAAGCATTCGATTTAATTAACTTGGAAACTGTTTTTCTAGATGATAAAATTGATTCAGCTTTAATTGGACCACATGTGTAGCCTAAATAAAAATAGATAATGATATTTAAATCATGAACAGTGTTTGACATGTCAGATACCTATAGAAATTGCTTCTTCAATTATTCTCTTGAATCCTGTATCTTCAACGACACTTAGTGGACGTATATTTGAACATATCCATTCACCTAACAAATGCGTCATTTTCTGTTTGTGTGATCCAATATTTTTATTCGATAAAGCAGGTGAAATTTGTGTTTTAATCAATTGTGATGGATTTGCTGTTGTTGATGATATTAAAATGCTTGTTTGATTAGGATTAAAACCATCACACCCTCGCATATACCTATTCATATTCACGGTACTAGATGAATACGCATATGTTGTGCTACAGTATTTGCATGATACAAATTTATCATAAATTTCATTCTTTTTCATTAATTTTCCGAGCCGGAATACCAAAACATTGCCAGCAATTAGATTTCTTGCATTTCATATCGACAATGAACCAATCTTTACTATTATATTTCAGGCCGGAACTAATTGTATCTGCAGATAAATGTCGATAAGAACGAGGTACATCGGTTAAAGAATTCGAAGAAAATGGAGACGATGAGCTGGCAAATGAATTCGTCAATTGAACATTTTTAGGACTTGATGAAGGATCAAGATCAATGACATCAGGTGTATTTGATGAAGAAGAGATATTCGTATTCGAGTTTGTTTTTTGTTTGATTATCATGAAGGCGCGTCTATACTATTTTTCCATATGTATTATATCATTGGATAGTTAATTTCAGGTTCTTCTTCGACGAAGAAAAACAAGAAATATTTATTTTTCTGTGTTATATACGCCATCTATTGATTATTGTCTTAAGTATTCATTCCTATATGCTAATTACACTGTGTCAATTGAGCTAAAGCCGAACCGATCGGTTCGGTTCGGATCATGAACCAAACCGTGTCCATCTCTGATTTGTCCTTCTTACTTTTCGTCCGGTGTTATTTCACCTTTTTACAGTTCGTCTTAATTGCAATTTGTCTTAATTTTATGTCGCCTCCTTACATTTTGTCCGCTTACACTTGATCTTGATATTATGTTGTCTTCTTACATTTTGTCTCAATTTTGTTTTGCTTTTTATATTCCATTTCATAATTTCACTAAAGTCAATTTGTGCACGCACAATACAAATATCCCTAGTTGTATATGGTGAATTATCGCTGTTTTAAAAGACCAATAGAGAAAGAATATCTATTCTCTGTCCTTTCTCTATAGCATTGATATTATGTCTTTCTCATTTGTTCACTTGCACTATTAATTCTTACCATCGCGACGAATTTACACCATAACCGAAAAGTGAATACAATTGAAGTCTTACGGAGCTCTCGTGGATATCCAAAAATCTATTTTGATGGATTTTTTTACACTCACTATGAATTAACAGGAAAAAAACGCATCTTTCGATGTGAAAATCGCAACTGTAGAAGTAAGAATTAGCCATCAGGCATAATTTTTAAATCTCGTATATTTGTTTTTTGGTCGTTGTCATACGAATATTCAAATGGATGCATTTATGAAAAAAACATCTGAACATACACATGCACCTTATCCAGATCGAGTTCACGCCATGCGAGTTAAAAATGAAATAAAAGGTCGTAGTGCATCATCGGATGAAACAACCAGTACAATATTACTCGATTCTTTAAGAGCAATGCAACTCGATGAAAATGGTCATTTACCGCTTGTATTCCGTCAAACTGATCGTGGTGAAAACTTTGTCTTGCACGAAGATGATGATTCAATAGTTATATTTACATGTGATAAAAATCTATCCGTTTTAAAGGAATATCCACATTGGTTTATGGACAGAACATTTAACGTATGTATGTCTCTTCAATCTTTCTATAAATAATATTAACCCATTTAGATTTGCTCAAAAAGTTTTTATCAATTATTTACCGTACATGGAATGTATTCACTTCAAATTATTCCTTTTGGTATATGTTTTACTGATTGGGAAAAATAGCTATGATTATGATCAATTTTTCGAACAGTTATTGATGCATTATGACTATGAACCTGAATCTATTCTAGTTGATTATGAAACTGCTACACTGAAATCGACTAAATCAATACTCACACAAGCTGTTAAAATAGTCAAGTTCTTATACGAATTGTTGGTCTATTGAAATTTACTTTTATTATACAAATAGGTTGCCTATTTCATTTTGGACAATGCTTATGACGACAAATCCAATTATTAGATCTTCAAAACAAGTACACTATCGATGATACATTTAGAATGAATGCGAAGAAAGTAATGGCTCTTGCGTTTTTTACCTGTGTTTGATGTCACTAAAGTTTATTGAACAATTGCTGATGATTTTGATGAAGAAGATTATGCCTTACTCGATTATTTCGAAAGCGTATGGATAGGACAAAAAAAGGAAGAGGTTTGTGGCCGTTTAATTGTATTTATTCGATGTGTGTAATATTATGTAACATTTATTCAGGTAATCAACGTAGTAAACCGAAATTCAATTTACATCTATGGAATACTTACGAGAGAGTCGTAAAAGACTTACCAAGATAAAATAACGCAATCGAGTATCGATCAAACATCCTTCAATCACCAAACTTGCCAAATGTATTATACGTGAACAATCTCGATTCGAGATTGACATTGAACGACTTCGTACGGGTGAACAGCCAAAGAAAAAGAAGAAAGTTTATGCAGATCTCGATGCTCGATTGAAAAGAATTGCCATGTCTTACAACGTCGATAATATCGAAGAATATTTATACCAAATCGCAGTGGACTTGAAACTCAAAAATTGAACTTTTTAAAATAAATTTTCGTCTTATTCTTATACAAAAGAACAAATTGAAATCGAGACGGAGTGTAAGGGGACGATATAAGATTGACATGAAATGCTATGAAGACCAACAGTAAAAAGACGAAATAAAACCGGACGAAAAGTAAGAACGACGTACTGTAAGAGGACGAAATGTAAGGAAATGAAATGTAGGGGATGAAAAATAGGGGTACCCCGAGATACATTGAAATTTAATACCATATGAAAACGATTATTTTATTGTCATACTGAGTTTCTTCGCACATGTTGATATCAAAGATTAATATATAGAATGAAGGACGATTCTAAAAAATTTATTTTTATTTTAAAAGACAAAAAAATCCATTATGTATCTTTGGTTTTGTATCCAATTTCAATACAAAATATCACTGAGAGATAAAATAAAAATATAATTTTTAAGAAAAAATCTTATTTTTTAAAAAATACTCAACTGATGGTATAGAATAACCTTCTGGACCATTCTGACCTTGATAAAGAATTTTATTATCATATAAAATATAAAGTTTTTCAGGCCAACCACGAAATAAATGATTTGTAT